TGAAACCACGAAAAATTGAGAAATCGAAAAATGAAAAAATCGCGCGAGAACTTGAAGAATTGAGATATTTAAAAATCCCAAAACTGAATTATCGAAAATTTAGAAGTCGAAAAATTGAAAACTGAGAAACTGAAAAAACGAAGCAGAAAAACTGAAAAAAATCGAATTAGTGACAAATCAAAACATGAAAAATAAAAAATTTTGAAAAACGTTCAAAAATTTCAAAATTGAAAAATTGTAAAACTGAAACAATGAAAAATTGAGAAATCGAAGAATGAAAAAATCGAGAACTCGAAAATTTGAAGAATTGAGAAATTGTAGAATGTAAAATTGAAAAATCTCTGCATTGAAACATCGAAAAATTGAAAAATGGAAAAAAAAATGAAAAGTCCAAAAACTAAAACCACGAAAAATTGATAAATCGAAAAATGAAAAAATTGCGACAGAAGTCGAAAATTTGAAAAATTGAATTATCCAAAAATATGGAAGTCGAAAAATGGAAAATTGAGAAACCGAAAAGTCGAAAAAACGAAGCAGAAAAACTGAAAAAATCGAATTAATACAAATCAACAACATGAAAAATCAAAAAACCAAAAAAGCGCTTAATCGAAAAATTGAGAAATTGAAAAATAGAAAATTTAGAAAAACGCTTAAAAATTCCAAAATTGAAATAACGAAAAATTGTAAAACTGAAACATCGGAAAATTGAAAAAAATCAAGAACACGAAAATATGAAGAATTAAGAAATTGTAGAATGTAAAATTGAAAACGGTGTATAAATTTTAATAGTTTGTTGGTTTAATTTAATGTGTTTGACTTGTGTAAAACTGTATTTGTAGTTTTGAACACCAATAAAGTATTGATTGATTGATTGAAACAAATCCTTGCATTGAAACATCGGAAAATTGAGAAATCGAAAAATGAAAAAATCGCACGAGAACTCGAAAATTGGGAAATTGAGAAATTAAAAATCCCAAAACTGTATTATCGAAAAATGGGAAATTGAGAAACCCAAAAGTCGAAAAAACGGAGCAGAAAAACTCAAAAAATCGAATAAATGGAAAATCAAAAACATGAAAAATCAAAAAAACAAAAAAGTGCTTAATCGAGAAATTAAGAACTGGAAAAATAGAAAATTTAGAAACAATCAAAAATACAAAAATTGAAATATCGAAAAATTGAAAAATCGAGAAAAAATTGAAAAGTCCAAAAACTGAAGCAACGAAAAATTGAGAAATTGAAAAATGAAAAAATCGCGCGAGAACTCAAAATTTTGAAGAATTGAGAAATTTAAAAATCCCAAAACTGAATTATCGGAAAATTTAGAAGTCGAAAAATGGGAAATTGGGAAACCGAAAAGTTGAAAAAATGTAGCAGAAAAACTGAAAAAAATCGAATAAACGGAAAATCAACAACATGAAAAATAAAAAAACCAAAAAAGCGCTTAATCGAGAAATTGAGAAATGGATAAATAAAAAATTTAGAGAAACGCTCAAAAATTCCAAAATTGAAAAATTGTAAAACTGAAACATCGGAAAATTGAGAAAACGAAAATTGAAAAAATCGAGAACTCGAAAATTTGAAGAATTAAGAAATTGTAGAATGTAAAATTGAAAACGGTGTAGAAATTTTAATAGTTTGTTGATTTAATTTAATGTGTTTGACTTGTGTAAAACTGTATTTGTAGTTTTGAACACCAATAAAGTATTGATTGATTGATTGAAAAAAATCCTTGCATTGAAACATCGAAAAATTGAGAAATTGAAAAATGAAAAAATCGCGCGAGAACTCGAAAATTTGAAGAATTGAGAAATTTAAAAATCCAAAACTGTATTATCGAAAAATGGAAAATTGAGAAACCGAAAAGTCGAAAAAACGTAGCAGAAAAAATCAAAAAATCGAATAAATGGAAAATCAAAAAAACAAAAAAGTGCTTAATCGAGAAATTGAGAACTGGAAAAATAGAAAATTTAGAAACACTCAAAAATTCAAAAATTGAAATATCGAAAAATTGAGAAATTGAAAAATGAAAAAATCGCGCGAGAACTCAAAAATTTGAAGAATTTTGAAATTTAAAAATCTCAAAACTGAATTAACAAGAAATTAAAAAGTCGAAAAATGGGAAATTGAGAAACCGAAAAGTTGAAAAAACGTAGCAGAAAAACTGAAAAAAATCGAATTAATGGAAAATCAAAAACATGAAAAATCAAAAAACCAAAAAATGGTAAAATATTCAGAAAAACACTCAAAAATTCAAAAATTGAAATATCGAAAAATGAAAAAATCGCTTGAGAACTCGAAAATTTGAAGAACTGAGAAATTGTAAAATCGAAAAATTTTAAATTTCTTTCACTAGAACATCGGAAAATTGAAGAAACGAAGAAAAATTGAAAAGTCCCAAAACTAAAACATCGAAAAATTGGGAAATTGAAAATTAGAAATCGGGAAACAGAAACCTTAAAAAATCGAATAAACTAAAAATCAAAAACGCGAAAAATGGAATATGTAATTGGAAAACTGAAAAATCAAAAAATCGAGAAATTGAGAAATGGAAAAATCGAAAATTTAGAAAAACGCTCAGAAATTCCAAAATTGAAAAATTGTAAAACTGAAACATCGGAAAATTGAGAAAACGAAAATTGAAAAAATCGAGAACTCGAAAATTTAGAGAAATTGGAAATTCCCAAATTGAAACAATGAAAAATTGAGAAATCGAAGAATGAAAAAATCGAGAACTCGAAAATTTGATGAATTGAGAATTTAAAAATCCCAAAACTGAATTATCGAAAAATTTAGAAGTCGAAAAATAGAAAATTGAGAAACCGAAAAGTCGAATAAACAAAAAAGTGCTTAATCGAGAAATTGAGAAATGGAAAAATAGACAATTTAGAAAAACACTCAAAAATTTAAAAATTGAAAAATCGAGAAAAAATTGAAACGTCCAAAATCTGAAACAACGAAAAATTGAGAAATCGAAAAATGGAAAAATCGCGCTAGAACTCGAAAATTTGAAGAACTGAGAAATTGTAAAACCGAGAAATTTAAAATTCCCTTCACTAGAATATCGGAAAATCGAAGAAACGAAGAAAAATTGAAAAGTGCGAAATCTAAAACATCGAAAAATTGGGAAATTGAAAATTAGAAATCGGGAAACAGAAACCTTAAAAAATCGAATAAACGAAAAATCAAAAAATCGAAAAATTGAATATGTAATTGAAAAACTGAAAAATCGAGAAATCGAGAAGTTGAAAAATTGAAAAGTCAAAAAACCAAAACCAAAAAATTGAGAATTCGAATAATCTAAAATTTAGAAACGTCAAAAACTGAAAAATCATAAAATGGAGAAAACGAAAAATAAATAAATCGAGGACTCGAAAATTTGAAGAATCGAGAAATTGTAGAATCGAAAAATTGAAAAATCCTTGCACTGGAATATCGAAAAATTGAAAAAACGAAGAAAAATCTAAAAATTCCAAAACTGAAGCATTGAAAAATATAGAAATAGAAAAATTGGAAAATTATGAAACTGAAAAGTCGGAAAATCTAATAAATGAAAAATGCGAAACTGGAAAAATAAAAAAAATAATTGAAAAACTGAAACATCGAGAAATCGAGAAGTTGAAAAATTGAAAAGTCGAAAAACCAAAACCAAAAAATTGAGCAATCGAATAATCTAAAATTTAGAAACGTCAAAAATTGAAAAGTTGAAAAATCGAAAAATTGTAAAACTGAAACAACGGAAAATTGAAAAAATCGATAACTCGATAAATTTCAAGAATCGGGAAATTGGAAAATCCCAAAATTAAACCAATAAAAAATTGAGAACTCCAAAATTTGAAGAATTGATAAATTGTAAAATCGAAACTGAATTAGCGAAAAATTTTGAAGTCGAAAAATGGAAAACTGAGAAACCGAAAAGTCGATAAAACGAAGCAGAAAAACTGAAAAAAATCGAATTAATGACAGATCAACAACATGAAAAATCAAAAAACCAAAAAAGCGCGTAATTGAGAAATTGAGAAATGGAAAAATAGAAAATTTAAGAAAACGCTCAAAAATTCCAAAATTGAAATATCGAAAAATTGTAATACTGAAACATCGGAAAATTGAGTAAACGAAAATTGAAAAAACCGAGAACTCAAAAATTTGACGAATTGAAAAATTGAAAAATTCCAAAATTGAAATTGAGAAATCGAAAAATGAAAAAATCGGAAACTCGAAAATTTAGAGAAATTGAAAAATTCCTCCATTGAAACATCGAAAAATTGAAAAGTCCAAAAACTGAAACCACGAAAAATTGAGAAATCGAAAAATGAAAAAATCGCGCGAGAACTCGAAAATTTCAAGAATTGAGAAATTTAAAAATCCCAAAATTGAATTCTCGAAAAATGGAAAATTGAGAAACTGAAAAGTCGAAAAAACAAAAAAGTGCTTAATCGAGAAATTGAGAAATGGAAAAGTAGAAAATTTAGAAAAACACTCAAAAATCCAAAAATTGAAATATCGAAAAATTGAAAAGTCCAAAAACTGAAACAACGAAAAATTGAGAAATCGAGAAATGAAAAAATCGCGCGAGAACTCGAAAATTTGAACAACTGAGGAATTGTAAAATCGAAAAATTTTAAATTCCCTTCACTAGAATATCGGAAAATCGAAGAAACGAAGAAAAATTGAAAAATTGAATATGTAAGTAATTGGAAAACTGAAAAATAAAAAAATCGAGAAGTTGAGAAATCTAAAAGTCGAAAAACCGAAACGAAGAAATTGAGAAATCGAATAATGTAAAATTTAGAAACGTCAAAAATTGAAACATCGGAAAATGGAGAAATCGGAAAAGAAAAAAATTATGCACAATGCTGACTCCATTTTGGTAAGAATTTTTATTTTTAGGAGTGTTTATACAGGATGTTTGAAAAAAACGTATGCACGTACTGGATTAATTTTTCTCAGTTTATTTGACTAATACCGACGATTCGCACCTGGACTGATGTTGAAGGACCAAGACACATTTTTTTTTTAAACATTCCATTCCATGCAACCAACCCGTTTTTAAGCGCAAACCCGCCTCCTTTCCAAACCGCTGCCCCATTTCTGCTGCACTTCCTCTTAAATCTTCACGCCTCATAAACCACAAGAAACGAAAGGCTAAGGGTGCGCACCGGAGCGCGACTCCTTCCAAACCTGCGACGTTTCTAGTTCACTAGAGCACCGGAAAGTGCCCGGACCAAGTTCTAGCCCCAAAAAACCGACCCGCCGTTCGCCAAAATCGCATTTTCATCCACGATCCGTGCGTCCGCGAAGACCGACTCCCGAAGCTGAAATAGTGGGGCAAGCGATCATATTTGGAGAATGGTGTCGCGGGCCCGCGAAGACTGGTGAAAGAGCAAGACTGCATTTAAGTTTTACCAGCCGTCGGTGATGTGAACGGCGCGCGTGTTCGCAGACTTCGCCAGCGTGCTAGTGTCCGTGGAATTGTGGAAAATAACGGTGAGTGGCTCGAAAAACTTCTTGTAGTCTCGTACCGCGATGTTCGAGCGTCGGGTACCAAATTAGTGGAAATAATTTGGACGGATGCAGACGTCGCGATACGTGATCTTGTTTTAGTCGCAGATGGGGACGTACGTGTCCACAATTAAAGGTCGCGGATTTCCATTTTCAATCCAAGAGCAACACAACCCAAACCTGCTGCTATTTTTAGCGGAGGTGGAACGTAAATAAGGTTGGATATTTTTGGCGAATGAATGATGGAGCGATGAACTTGATGAAGATGTTTTCGAATAAATTTGCTTCGAAGGTGATGTTTTCGTTCTAGTTTTTGGGAGGAATGCGACGCGAGATTTTATCTCGAAAAATTTAAATTACATCGTGTAGCGGTAAATTGGAGCTAAGTTGAAAGAAATTAATTTATTATGGTACGCGTTTGATTGGAAAAATGGAGCAATTAGGCCAGACGCCACTAATTAATTAATTACAACCTTGTAGCTTATTCATTGTGTGGAATAATAGTGTTTGTGACAGGTGAATATTTTAATAGCGTGATTGAATGTGCGGTGCGCTAATAAGCTATAAGTAAAAGTTAGAATGTTGAGGAAGTTGGAGGATTCGTATCTCGTAAATAGATTTGTTATGGAAAGTTTGCGGTGAATGAGATAACACGAACTGATTGATAACTTCCATTTTTACTTCCCGAGCGTAAGCAGATGTTTTAAGGTCATAAAGAGCATAATAAATGTTTAGTCAAAATATATTTGCTTATCCCTTCCAAAAACTTGATGACGTCAGCTCGAAAATTTGCCGAATAAATCATATCTAAAATGTACAAAATATGATGAGTCTGTACTTGTGATCTATCACTCCATTCATATTTTTTTGGATTTGCATATACAGGGTGATTCAAGAAAATAAATGAAAGCGTAAATTTATTTTACTGATTTACTCAGGAACTACAAAACCGAATGCTTCGAAATCTTGAAGATATTTTAAAATTATCATAAGCATGGTAAATTTTTGATCAAAACGTATTTGGTCGTCCCCCCTAAAAAATGTATGACGTCACCACAAAATTTTGCTGAATAAATCCTATCTAAAATGTACAAAATATGGTGAGTCTCTTCTTGTGATTTATCATTCCATTCAAATTTTTTCGATTTGCATATACAGGGTGACTCAAAAAAATTAATGAATGCGTAAATTTATTTTATTGATTTAATCAGTAACTACAAAACCGAATGCTTTGAAATCTTGCAGATGTTTTAAGGTTATAAAGAGCATAATAAATTTTTAGTCAAAATATATTTGGTTATCTTCTACAAAAAACTGATGACGTCAGCTCAAAAGTTTGCCGAATAAATCGTATCTAAAATGTACAAAATATGATGAGTCTGTACTTGTGATTTATCATTCCATTCATATTTTTGGATTTGCATATGCAGGGTGACTCAAAAAAATTAAGGCGTGAATTTATTTTATCGATTTAATTAGGAATTACAAAACCGAATGCTTTGAAATCTTGGGAATATTTTAAACTTATTATAAGCATGGTAAACTTTTGTTCAAAATGTATTTGTTCATCCCTCCTAAAAAAATTGATGACGTCACCCTTAAATTTTGCTGAATAAATCCTATCTAAAATGCAAAAAATATGATGAGTTTGTACTTGTGATTTATCATTCCATTCATATTTTTTAGATTTTCTTAAGAGGTGGTTCAAAAAAATTAATGAAGTCAATTTATTTTATTGATTAAATTAAAGGCAACACTTATTATTAGTATTACACCCCAACCAACCCAATTTGGTAGACACAAAATTTGTTAAAGGAAAAACTCGGTTGAAACATAAGGGTAGTACGCTTATTTACATCGACTTTAACATTACAGACCTGCATTTGTTTTATGCGCTCACTTGGTTCCGCGAATGTGAAATAGACATGTTTATAATCAACCATTGTGAATTTCACTTTTGATACGTATACGTGAGTAAATTGTTTCGTTATTTTATTGATTATTACAAATCAATATTAAAAAAAATCCAGAAATCGTAAAATTGACATTTGAAAAATGGAAAAACTGAAAACTCGATGAATCGATGTCTCGAGAAATCAAAAATTCGAAAAATCCTAATCCAAAATTTTAAAATTCAAGAAATCGAAAAATCGCGAAATAAATCAAAAAAACGAGACAACGAAAAAATCGCAAAACTGAAAAATTGAAAGATCGAGAAGTCAAAAATTCAAAAATCGAAGAATAGAAAAATGAAAAACTGAAAAGTCGATAAATCGATATCTCGAGAAATCAAAAATTCAAAAAAATCCAAACATCGAAAAGTCGAAAAACTGAGAAAATCGGAAAATCGAGGAATCAAAAAATCGAAAAGTCGAAATCGAACACTCTAAAAATCGAGAAGTGGATAAATCGGTATCTCGGGAAATCAAAAAGTCAAGAAATTCTAAATTGGAAAAATCGAAAAACGAAGAAATCGGACAATCAAAAATTCAAGAAATCCTAATCGAAAATTTAAAAATTCAAGAAATCGAAAAATCGCGAAATTAAGAATCGAAGAAACAAGAAATCGAAAAATCTCAAAACTGAAAAATTGAAAAGTCAAAAAATCGAAAAATGGAAACACCGAAAAGTCGATAAATCGGTATTTTGAGAAATTAGAGAAAAAGTCAAGAAATCCTAAATTCGAAAAACTGAAAAATTTAAATCGAAATATGTATTGCAAAATCTAAAAAAGTGAAAGTCGAAAATTCGAAAATCCAAAAAACTAAAAATCGAGAAATTGAAAATTCAAGAAATCCTAAAACCGAAAAGTCGAAAAACTGAAAAAAATCTAAAAATTGAGAACTCCAGAAATCGAAAAATCAAAAGTAGAGCAATCGAAAAATCTAAAATTTTAAAATCCAAAAAATTAAAATCGAAAAACTGTTGAAATAAAAAATGGAAGAATCGAGAAATCTAAACAACCACAAAACTAAAAAATTGAGAATTAGAAAAGTCGAAAATTTCGAAAAATTAACAAAATGTAGAAAAATACAGAAACCGTAAAATTGAAATTTGAAAGACGGAGAAACCGAAAACTCGATGAATCGATGACTGGAGAAATCAAAGAAACGAGAAAACGAAAAATTCCAAAAGTATAAAATTGGGAAATCTAAAAGTCGAAAATTCAAAAATCTGAAAAATCTAGAAATAAAAAATCGAAGAATCGGGAAATTAAAAAATTCAAAAATTGAAAAACTGAAAAATTTAGATCGAAATATGTATTGAGAAATCGAGAAATCGAAAAACCGAAAAGTCAATAAAAAACGATACCTGGAGACATCAAAAATTCAAAAAATCCTAAAATCTAAAATTCGAAAACCTGATAAAATCAGAAAATTGTGAAATTGAAAATTGAAAAGTGGAAAACCGAGAAGTCAATAAATCGGTATTTCGAGATATCAAAAAGTCAAGAAAATTTACATTCGAAAATTCGAAATACTACGAAATCGGACAATCGAAAAAAATGAAAGTCGAAAAATCGAAAATCCAAAAAACTAAAAATGGAGAAATTGAAAAATCGAGGAATCGAAAATTCAAAAAATTCTAAAATCGAAAAGTCGAAAAACTGAAAAAAATCGAGAAATCCAGGAGTCGAAAAATCAAAAGTAGAGAAATCGAAAAATCGAAAATTTCAAAAATCCAAAAAATTAAAATCGAAAAACCGAGAAATAAAAAATGGAACTGAATCGAGAAATCCAAAAAACCACAAAACTAAAAAATTGAGAATTCGAAAAATTGCGAAATAAATCAAGAAGACGAAAAATCGCAAAGCTGAAAAATTGAAAAATCGAGAAGTCAAAAATTCAAAAAATACAAAAATTGAAAATTGAAAAATGGAAAATCGAAAAGTCGATGAATCGATGTCTCGAGAAATCAAAAATTGCATATACAGGGTGACTCAAAAAAATTAATGAATGCGTAAATTTATTTTATTGATTTAATCAGGAACTACAAAACCGAATGCTTTGAAATCTTGCAGATGTTTTAAGGTTATAAAGAGCATAATAAATTTTTAGTCAAAATATATTTGGTTATCTTCTACAAAAAACTGATGACGTCAGCTCAAAAGTTTGCCGAATAAATCGTATCTAAAATGTACAAAATATGATGAGTCTGTACTTGTGATTTATCATTCCATTCATATTTTTGGATTTGCATATGCAGGGTGACTCAAAAAAATTAATGAAGGCGTGAATTTATTTTATCGATTTAATCAGGAATTACAAAACCGAATGCTTTGAAATCTTGGGAATATTTTAAAGTTATTATAAGCATGATAAACTTTTGTTCAAAATGTATTTGTTCATCCCTCCTAAAAAAATTGATGACGTCACCCTTAAATTTTGCTGAATAAATCCTATCTAAAATGCAAAAAATATGATGAGTTTGTACTTGTGATTTATCATTCGATTCATATTTTTTAGATTTTCTTAAGAGGTGGTTCAAAAAAATTAATGAAGTCAATTTATTTTATTGATTAAATTAAAGGCAACACTTATTATTAGTATTACACCCCAACCAACCCAATTTGGTAGACACAAAATTTGTTAAAGGAAAAACTCGGTTGAAACATAAGGGTAGCACGCTTATTTACATCGACTTTAACATTACAGACCTGCATTTGTTTTATGCGCTCACTTGGTTCCGCGAATGTGAAATAGACATGTTTATAATCAACCAATTGTGAATTTCACCGTCAAGAATTAAAATAAAACCCAATGTTTTATATAATAAGCGGAAGTCGAAGCAATAAAACCGATGGTCGTTTTGTTTACAGTTTCTCTGTTTGACTCTCACGTATGCTGTTACGCCTGTCATCTTAAATTAAGAATGTTTATACATACACGATTTTCAGTTGCCTCTGATACGTATACGTGAGTAAATTGTTTCGTTATTTTATTGATTATTACAAATCAATATTAAAAAAAATCCAGAATTCGTAA